GTTTATATGCAGTTAGTTACAAAAATTCAAATATGAAACTTTAATAAGTTATACTTACGCATAATCTACTTGTAATATTGAGTTTCAGGTAACATGCATTAATAAACAATATTTTATGCATAAAAAATGGTTCTTAATTTTTTTTGTCAAATACTTTATAATATAATATAAATAAATAACCCATGAATGATGACCGATGCATCATTCATGACTCGTGAATGCAAAGTACACGAGGCGCATTCTCCTTTATACCCCGAGTTCACAATAGAACTTAGATTTTCAATTGAACTCGTCCTTTTTAAGAACATGTAAGGTAACGATTTCATGTTTTAGTAGTCGAAACCAAATTTGTTGTAAATACGAATCTACCCTCACAGTCGGTCAAATATTTAACTTCAAAATCGTAATTGCACGAATCCTTCGACCGAAATACTTTCTCACCAGCGAAAAGGAATAGTAAAATACAAGAGATGAGGCATCTAAGTATCAGCGATCGTAACCTCAACCTCAACACCAGGTTCGATGGTGATGGAGGTTATCTGCTTCACGACATCCGGTGAGCTGAAAAGGTCGATAACACGCTTGTGAACACGAAGCTCAAATCTGTCCCATGTGTTTGTTCCTATAAAACAACCAAACGTTAATACCTGAATGCATCAGCCATCTTAAAATCTAGTTTTAACGCTGATGCGGCAATTAAGAATAGTGTATGAATTGTTGTTTTAGTGTGTGTAATCTCAGAGTAATTGCTAAAACTGACGTGATGTTTAAGTAATGATTTGCATCAGCGTCTAAAATGTCAAATGACTACCACGAGCAATATTACTTAACTATTGCTAAGCCAAGTTAAGTACGATACATATGTAGATTAAAAACAAGGAGACTCGTTGCCACAACGCAGGTAAAAAAGGAACAAAAAACAATATGCAGGTCAGTGTAGAATGTACGGGGCTGTTTGGCAATTGCTGAATGGTTTGGTGCAGAATGATTAAGAGATCTCATGATATAGTGTAAAATGAAATATAATTGTTTGGTAATTGCGTACAATGAAATTAGGGCTCTTAATGGTTAAGGGAGATCCAGAATACAAAATCATTCAGAGGGTTTTAGAACCATTAATAAACGGACTTTTTTTGTCAAACAAGATCCACCTCTTAACGATTCAAAAGTTGCCTCTTAATGGAACTATTAAGAGGTAAACAATGATTAAAAGATCTCCAGGATACATCAATTTTCCATTTAGCTTATATATCTGACATTCAGCCTATATAACTTAAAAAAAATATGACCGTATATAAATGAACACTTTCGTTAAGCATAAAAAATGGAGCTAAAAATATGCACGGATCGAAAGAAAAGAAATTACATTGTTGTACAAAAACATGTAAAACGTTTTTGAAGTATACCTTCGCCACAAGGGGATTTCCTAGTTGTGATATTAAGAACCTTGGTTGGCATTCTAACAGGTCCCTTAACCCTCAGTTTCTTATCCTTGGCACCACGAACCAGATCCGCACACACTGTCATTCAAAGATTACAAATATATGCATAAAGACCTTCACAAACAAATTAGTTTAAGTAAACCCCAAAGAAATAGAAACCAATCGTAGAACTTGATAGTACGATAGGTGCATATATATATATATATATATATATAATCTATCATCCTACCACTTAAAAATGGAGTCACAAATCCTACTCAAATGGGAATTTTTTCAGACCAACTTTTAAATTCAAGAACTGCTGAAATCTCCTCCACAAGCATCATGTGATACATAAAGGCAAAGTTTCAGATTAGATTCACCATAACCAAATACAATTAAGTTGGGATTTGTTCATGTCATCCAGATTAAACTTGTGACAGAAGTTATCATGATAGTATTAATACAATTAAGTTGGGATTTGTTCATGGCATCCAGATTAAACTTGTGACAGA